CGGCTGACCAGCGAGGAATACTGTGATTTTCCATGGAAGCCAGGGATGTCATCATATACGGTGAATGGATGCTCACTCCACGGTGAATCGGCTGGAGAACGCTGAACAGCTGGTGTAGTTCCGAGCGCCTCTATCAAAGTGTTGGAGTGTCTGCCATAATGAGAACAGTGCCGCCGTTGGATATCCTCGTAAAGAGAACCACCGCTGCTTGACTGGGCGAGTCGAACCAGATGGCGAAGAGCCCGTTCCTTAGCGTGCAAAGATACTGGCATTTCCTGGGCCTCAATCCACGTTGCCTCTATTCGAGAGTAAGAGGGGAGTCCTAGGGCCATCCTTAGTCCAGCGCGATGACGTCGTTCCAGCTGATCCCACAGAGAGCGAGTGGGGGGCAAGTACGGCGCGACATAAAGAATTCGAGACAGGTTCAGTGCTCGATGCACGTTAGTTAGGGCTCGAGGAGTTGGTCCCCAATCAAGGCCACGAAGCCTACGAATAAGAGAGGCTGTCATCGTGCTTTGCCGTACAAGAGTAGTTACGTGGCGACGAAAGCAGAGCCGCGAGTCGAGATCAACGCCCAGATAACGGTAGTTTCGCACACGTGGCAATCGGATTCCAGATAAAGTTAAACGTGGAAACCCGTGGCGAAGAGGACGGCGGGAACATGCGAGCGCAGCCGTCTTTTCTGCCGAGATGGAGAGACCGAGGTCTTCCAGCATGTTTGCAACTCGCTTAAGGCAGGTTAGCATAAAAGGGCGAAGTATACGGCGATCGGAATGGGAAGCCCACAAACAAATGTCGTCAGCATAAATTATCATACCACTAGGATGAGGTGATGAGTCCATGCACAGTGGTAGAGTTGCCATTACGACGTTGAAGAGTGTCGGGCTTAGACAGCTACCTTGAGGTAGTCCCCGCAGCAGTGGGCGAACAGCACCTTGAAACGTTCCCAGGCGGACACTGATAGTCCTGCCGTTCAGGAAGTCTTCGAAATATCTTAACATCCTTCCCGTTACGCCAAGATGTCTCAAGCACGCAAGAACAACATCATGGGGAACAGAGTCAAATGCGCGTTCCACGTCTAAAAATACTGCCAAGCCTGTATGTCCCTGGGAACGGGCGTCTTCCAATGCTGACGTGAGAGTCGCAATGCAGTCAGCGGTGCAACGTTCGCTTCTGAATCCTGCGAGCTCAGGGGGAAGAGCTTCAGTATCGTCGAGGAACCACTGAAGGCGTGTAAGGACCAGGCGCTCTAAAAGCTTGCCAACGCATGATGTCAAAGATATCGGGCGATAGGATGACGACTCCGAGGAGGGCTTGCCGCGCTTTAAAAGGGGTGTTACTAATGCGTGTTTCCATTCTTGAGGGATCACACCCGAAGACCAAACTGAATTTAGACGTTCGAGTAAGGAGCTGCGTGACTGATAGCTGAGATATGTTATGTGATCAGGCCCGGGAGCGCTGTGACGATTGCATCTTCGAAGAGCAGCTTCCAGTTCTGACATGGCGAGGGGGTGGTCCAGATTCTGCGGACTTCGCGATGGGCCAGTCAGCGATAGGGGCCGCGATGACCTTACAGAGCGTGGAGCAACGACAAAGCGTATCGCAAATTCGTCGGCAAGTTGACATAATGCCAAGCCAGTTTTTAAACTAAGAGCAACGAACACGTCTCGAGGTGTCGGAGATCCACTCATACCTCTGAGCACTTTATAGATCTTCGGCTTCGGTGTACATGGGGTCAGTGACGAGCAGAACTGGCGAAATTGTCCGCGATGAAGTACTCGGGTGTGCCGGCGTAAGGCTGACGTTATACGGCGACACTCCACCCAATCGGCGATCTTGCCAGAGCGGAGCGCACGGTGCTGGGCACGACGGCGAGCTGCCCGAAGACGAAGAAATTTTAAGTCCGGGCTAGGTTGCGATACTCTGAGTGTGATTTTTGTTGTAGATTAGACGAGGCAGCTTGGAATGGCTTTTAGGATATCCTCTGACGGATCGAGAGGCAGAAGACTTTTCCGAAACAGGTCCCAATTGGTTACATGGTACAGACGACGCGGCAAGCGGCCCACCCTGGCTATACTCATCAAAACTGGGAGATGATCGCTTCCGCGCGTGTCCACGTCCAGCGACCAATATACGTCAAGATCGGGCGAGGCGAAACTAAGGTCGAGGACGCTAGGCTTCCCGCGATGGCCGAAAAATGTTGGAGAGCCATCATTTAAGAGCACCAAGTCTGTAGATTCAATGGCGTCTGCAAGGGATGTGCCCCGCGGCGTCGTGCGTTCACTACCCCACGAAGGGTGATGCGCTTTAAAGTCTCCACATAGAAGCAGAGAACCGGGGAACTGTCGACGTAAAATTTGAATGCTCTTCGCATCAAAGCGACCCGCAGGAGATATATACACGGATACAATAGTCATCCTAAAAGAACCAAATATGACAGTGCAAGCCGCGAACTCTGCTGTTTCGGTACACAGATGTGACACATCTTCTGCAGCTTGTTGAATGGTGGAGTGAACAAAAACCGAAGCTCGCGACAGGCTGTTTGGGTCAGATACGGCACTTCCATAATGAACATATGGCTGAATTCGAGATGCAGGTGGGAGCCGGCCTTCCGAGATTGCAAGTATAGGCACTGGCATAGAGGCAAGATAATATTGCAACTCAGGTAGTTTAGAGGCGATGCTGCGGGCATTCCATTGTAAAATAGAGGGACAGACTGCCATTATGATAATGCTAAGCATGATAAGGACCTTCATCGCAGGAAGCTTTCGATTAAAGGTTCTATCAGTCCAATGAAATGCAGTAACTTGTCGGCCCATGAGTACTTTATGAATGGTAAAAATTCTCGTACTGCAATGAATATCTGGCGAACGATGCTAGAGAACGAAGAGGAGCCGGAGAAAATTTGAGGCGGACGTGAATCTGCGATTGTCGGTGCGGTGTCTGGGAGTTCGTGTGCAGGCTTCGGTGTAGGCCGCATTTGCACTTGAGGAGCCGACGTTCTAGAGCTGCTGCACAGTACGTCTTTGAAGCTTCGTTTCTCGTTTTCGTTGACAGATGACATGCGGACCGACGTGGTACCTGGATCGATGTTTACGGCACTTGATGTCTCGGGGAGAGGTGAAGAGGTCGACTTATCAGCGCAATTTTGTTGCACCTGGCGTCGTCGCGAATGTCTTCGCCTCTGTGGGTGTTCCGGGGAAGAGCCGACGACTTCTGGTGCAGCTTGTGCTTCCGGCACAGCCTGCGCATCAGTAGGCTTGTCAAATGCTGCTCGTGCTTGCGCAATCGGCACGTTGTTCTCGCAGCGATAGCGGCACACGGTGCGCTCGGCTTGCCAGAACGGGCATATGTGAGACGTTGCTTCATGCGACTTGTTGCAGTTTACGCAGTGGAGGTCAGAGGCGTCACACTGCGCAGTTGCGTGGAGCTGCGCACAACGGAGGCAAGTCAACTTCCTCTTGCAGCCAGCCGCAACGTGACAGAAGAGCCTGCATCGGTGGCATTGCAGAGGGTTGTTAACGTACAGGTCGACTTCGTGCCGGACCAAGCCAACGTAAATGTGTTGGGGAAGTGTGGCAGATGCAAACTCAATGCGAACTGTGCTTGATTTTCCAAGCCGACGAACACAACGGATGCTTACACTTGACCGTAGCGCTCCGACGATCTCGGTGTCTGAGAGAGCGATGTCAACGTTGCGCACGATGCCTACACTGGAAACTTTTCCACGGGGCTCAAAGGCTCGAACTTTTATGCCGCAAAGCGTGGTCAAGCCGAGAAGCACCCGCGTTGTCTGGCCATTCCGGGTGTCAACCGCGAGAAGATTTTTTCGCCTGTTGAATCGAGCCTCAATGACGCATGAGGGCACCAGCGTCTCCAGGGTATTAGAGACGCGGACCGAATCAATGGAGTTGATGCTCACGTCTGGATCCAGTGGCGTGAACAGAACCACCAAACCAACTGTCGGCTCTGGGAGGGTGACGATGGTCGCGTCGCTGGAGCCAGAGTTTTGGCTGCTGCAGCGTCTCTTCTTTCTGCATGTCACTTCCTGAAAGGGACCTTCAGTGTCTTCAATCAGCGAGTCGGACAGGCTTGCGGCGTCATCCTGCGCGGTCGGGTCGGGTGTTTCATCCATGGCAGTTGCAGGGGCGGTCGTGGTGTCCATACCTCGCCGGTTTAAAAACCGGATCGAAGGGTCAGAAGGCCCTGGAGGGGACTATAGGGACCTCCCAACGACGTTGAGAAGCTACTTGCTGATATAAAGTCGACGTAAGCAAAATATTCAATGAAAATAGAGGAGACTAGAACACACGTCCGATGCGTAGCTTTGTCTTCCCATTATTGTGATATCTCTTAAATATGTGAGTTATGAAAAAAAGAAAAAAGGCCATAGTTTGATCTGTCATAATCTGTTGCAACAGTTCCGTAAAAACAATTCAAGTCTTTTTTTGACACTATTTGAAATATTAGTAGGCAATGCCTCCACTAGACTCGGTTTGAACTTTGATACAACTAGCTACCTAATTAGTTTTTCACTATTTTTACTGATCTATACGATTTCTTTACAGCTTTATGGTTATAATTTTTTTCTGGAAACATAACATCCCCTTATATTTGAATTACAACCTTGACAAAGATTCCTTGAGATCCCTTCGCTGACGACCAACTTAATTCGGCGAAATATGCACACCTGAAAGAATGCCTTTTCCTGCTTGATTGGGTATCATCTGAAACTGAATAATACTATGATGCTGATACCACCGAAGAACATGTATTCGATTCAGAGTACTAGCACAGTAAAGAGTAAAGTTGTGCATTAGCGAAACGATAAAAAACGAATTTGAAGCCTTCATTCGGTACATTTTATTGTCATGACTGCCAATACATATTTATTTTCCACCATAAAGCTAAAACATCCGGACCACGAAAAACCGAAATTTGTTGCTCAACGTAAATGAAACTCGTAAAAAAAAAAAATAATCATATTGATTTCGAAGTGTTGGAGGCGGTTGCATACACCAACAAATAATAGTGGATTTTAGAATGTCACAGGGACAAGCATTGGGTACACAGAGAAATAGCATTATTTTTCGGGCGCATGCGTGAAGCCCAAGCCGTGTTTTGGATTGGCACTCGGTGACTACTCTTATTTATCGCATACGGTATTCTAAAACTCGCTAGCGAGCCTGAGAGTGAAATCCTTGGCTTACGGAAAAGCGACGGAGGCAACGGACCTGGTGAGCAGAGCCTTCATCTCATTCTGCATGATACCTTGCAAGGTTTCCCTGACCTTCAATTCAACACGTTCCTTGAACTGCCTCAAACGATCGGTGTTCAGATGCAAATCCTGGTTGTTGGTGGTTGTAAATTGTAGGTTCTGGATATCGAATGCTCGGAGTGAAGCTACGCGGGATTCAGACCCCGTGATCTCAAGACGAGCGGTCGAATCCACCGTGACGACGTGAACCCAGATAAGTTTCAGCTCTCCCGGCACGTCGTCGCCTGTCGTCTGAAATGAAAAAAACACGGCGTCAAGATCCGAATCATCAAGATTCTCATCAAGAATCATCAAGATATAAACTATCGTTTGTACATCGGTATTGAAATCCGCTTTAAAAGTTGGTTCTCTACACAAGCGCACTTTGGCGCGTGCTCTAGCCTTACTGTTATCCCCCAGGATTGTCCCCGCCTTCACAAAATTTTATACCATGCCTGAAAGGTGTTTGTCAAGACTATTACAGTCACTAACAGGTTAAGAATGGCTGCAACCTCTTTCAGTTGTTCTGCCTCTAGCGCGTGCTTACTACCTTAGATAACGCTACAGCGTCTCCTGACCTTCGTACGTGAATATGCGCAGTCAAAACACGACGGCAGAGATGGTAAAATTACTTTTTCAAAAGTAATTGAATTGCATAAGTCATTAATTTTCTCAGAAATACGCGAATGTAAATAAATTACATTACGAACTACCGCAGGCCAAAAGCAACTGCATTACAATTACTTTCGAAAAGTATTGAGTCTAACTTCGAAATCACTTTTAAATTCCTTCAGGCAGTAATTTGTGCCCGTGACGACGGCAGTGTAAACGTAATGTAGAGCTTCTCAAGATTTTACTAAAGCAGACACCTTATAGGTTTCTTGGCTCATCAAATGGTGAAGTTAATCGGTTAATGGCTGATGTGATTGCGTCCTCCCGATTTTGGAGACGTCGTTCACTTCGACTGGTCGGGCCATGGCAGCTCGTTTTTACATGAAAACGTAACGACTGTTTTTAGATGTGCTAAACTGCCCCATGTGTAGCCATTGGCGAACGGGATCTATCGTTCTCGAATCCATTCTGTACAACGTTGAGGAAATGACTAAAACTTCTTTCTTTTGACACGAACGCAGTCGATTCGTTTTCCCTCAAGAGCACTGGTCGATGCTATCCCGGACTTTCCTCCCGAGGAGTATTGTTTCATAACACCAGAAGAGTGCGAGTTATCGTGCGTTGTCACGCGAGGGGGCCCGATGTTTTCTGGCCAAAAACCCCACCAGAGTAGGAAAGGGGTGGCGGGCGGGCGCCTCCAGAATTGTGTCCTTTAACGAACCAGTGGCAAGTTCGTCTGTTTCTTTCGCAGGGGTTCTGGTGACATTAGAAAGCCCAGCTCTGAAATTCTTTGATGGAAGGATAGTGGGTAGACCTAAAGGCAAGCTGCTTTGAGGTCTACCCACTATCCTTCATTCAGAACTAATAGGAGCTCGGCGTTCTGACGTCACCACAACCCCTGCGAAGAAGCAGACGAAGTTGTGCTCTTCATATCTGTGCGTTTGCTTTTTCCTGCCTTAACTTCCCGAGGTGAGCCTGCTTTGCTCGCGGGTCTTCAGTTTTTGACTATATCCCGTTCACCCTTAAAGGAGTCTCCAGACCAAAAGCGGAAAGCAGGAAGTGTGCGCTTTTAGCGGGAAGCGGGAGCGCTTCGTTTTGTTTTTCGGTTTGGTCATGATTTTTGTCGGAGCAAGACGGACACATCCAGGTGAGAGGTGCGCGTGACGTCGAGTCAGTCGCCAGAGACACGTCACTCATGGCCAACCCTTCAGAATGTCTCTGTCCGCCTACTCTTCGCGTACGTCGCCTCTCTTGGCTTCTCTCTTTCTTCATCCGGTTTAAAGGTCCCCTGTTTGCAGCTTCGCGCCTGCTTGGCCCGCTATTCTCCACTTCCCTTGTCCCTGTGATTGGTTGCGCCCGGTGGTTTCGTCACTCACGCCTTCCAAGGCCGCATCCGGGTACCTCCCGTCAAAAAACGGGACGTAGCGTAACAAGTAGGCAAAACTCTCCTGTAAAAGTGCACGCTTCCCGCTATTCGTTTTTTGTGTGAAAACCCCTTGAAGGTCTTTGCGCGCAGTATTGAATATAAATCTCATGCCGTCAATACTGCTCTGAAAAATATTTTGTTTTCGCGTAATATTTATTTTCGCCACGCGTGTATCAACCAGACTGCTAAAAAAATAAGTGTTCTGAAGATGTTTCTGAGATCGCCTAAATATGGGGATAACTCACTCTGCGAGCTCTAAGCATCTTACAAGTCTATTAATCATAACTATGCGCTGCCAAGTTGCCCAATAAGAAGGCAATAAAAGTTCGAAATTATCTCCGGTGACGGGAGGAACATTGTGAGGGCAGCCGGGACGGCATGTGACCAATGGAAACCCGGCATTTCGTTGAGATTGCAAACGCTGTTATTACAAAATGTGAATTCCTATGTAGATGATAAAAGCAAGTAAGAGTAGCGAGAAAATGTTAATTTTTCGCGGAGAGGGGACATAATAGCGCAATAATCGCCTCAGAAACAGCAAAATATGTTGTTTTTTTTTTGGCTTTCCACGGGAGTGATATGTCAGGTCGTCAGCTCTCGAGCACTCCCTGGGTTGAATCGTAGTCCGGGCTGCATGGGCAACGAGCAGCGCGCATTCGAGATATCACTCCGCAGTTTCACCGGTCGGTGACAGTGGTCCTGGTTTCGGAGCATGCTTCTCCCATCGCCGGGGAAGACTTCGGTGTGTTGCGTTCTTTGATTGCTTTTTAGAGCGCAGCTCTTAGGGGCCCGTTTCCGGCTTGAGCGGCGTCGGCGTCGCCGTCGCCGTCGGTGTAACCGCGCGGTGCATTATGGGTAAATTTCCCCGCTAAATCTAGCGGAAAAATTTCCCCCGCTAGATTTAGCGGAAAAATCTAGCGGAAAAATTTCCCCGCTAAATCTAGCGGGAAAAATTCCCCGCTAAATGTAGCGGAAAAATTTCCCCGCTAAATCTAGCGGAAAAATTTCTCCACTAAATCTAGCGGAAAAATCTAGCGGGAAAAGTCCCCTGTGCTGCTTCTCCTTTCAGAGCTACATTGTTCGAAATTAAACACAAAAAAAGTAGTTTGTGAAATATTTTGTATGGCGCCGAGCTCAAGTATCAGGGATCTACGTAGGTGCAGCTTTACCTAATTTTCCTACTTCGCACACTTAGCGCAAAATCCCAAGCCGCATATATGTTGAACTGCCAGAATTATTCTTGATTTCATTAAAAAAAAAAAAGAATACGGTATTTTCTTTCTCTTCACTCAAGCTTCGCTGTTACCACTGATCAAATTTACAACACTAGTTAAACAGAAAACGGGCGTTTTGTTTTATTTATACGCATTTTTTTAGTTTGTTTCCTTATTTGCTGCACGTTTTGACTGTTAATCTTGACTATCGTTATTCCTCAAAATCCAGCAGGCAGTAGGCAAGCAGCTTGGCAGTTCTTACCAGGGCCAGGAACGTGGTGTTGACTCCGCTGAAGTCCAAGGTGCACAGGATGCTTGGAGAGCCACCCTGGACATCCCTCGACTGACAGTCGCCCGTCCGTCGCAACGCGGTGTCGAGGCCACGAATCAGACCCTCCGTCATCTCGACATCGAGATCGCGGTCGGTGGTGGCGTCCTTTGGAACCTGCGTTCAAAGAATAAATAAGTCACAATATCGGGTCCGTAAAAAAATAAAAAAAAGAGAGAGAGAGAGAGAGAGAGAACATGTAGTTTTGACTGTTATTAATTACATTTCGCAACTCAACAGATATAATTCACTGCAGTATATTGAAAGTTTAAAAAAAATACATGGTCGGCTTCGCAGATTGGGAGATTAACTCTTCCAAATAAAGGCCATCGGTAAAAATATACAGAAATATTCATTGCTTGATTCTTCGGGAGTGCGTTAGCGTGACCTTGGAAACGCCGACACCCGTCCCCCTTCACTAATCCTTTCACTTTTATCTTTTAGCTTTCTCTTTTGCTTCCTCTATTTTATTTTTTCTGTCTCTTTTTGGCCTCGTTACGGGACCAGTGTTAGCGTTTCGCGAAGGAAGACGTGTTTTGAGTTTTGCAAGGGTCATGCTAACGGCTTCCCTAAGATTCCACCAATGGATCTTCCTGAACTTTTTTAGAGAGCAGCTCTAAGCGGCCGTTTCCGGCTTGACCGTCGCTTCCGTCGCCGTCGGCGTAACCGCTCGTCGCATTATGGAACGCTTCGCATATTGACGTCACACGTGACGTCATGAGGATCCTGAGTGATGTCACGTGTGCGTCATCCTTGTCACGTCACACGGCGCCTAAATTTGTCGGAAATTTTTCCTCTAGAGTGTGCGGGCAAATGTCCCCCCTAAATTTAGAGGGAAATTTCCCAGATCAATTTTGCGGGGAAACTTTTCCCTAAATTTAGACGGGAAATTTCTCCGCAATTTATTTAGTCAAATTTAGCGGGGAAATTAATCCGCCAATTCGTTCGCTAAATTTAGCGTGGAAATTTTTCTGGCAAATTTAGCGGGGAAATTCTTCCGCAAACTTTAACGGACAACTTTTTCCGCTAAATTTAGCGGGGAATTTTTCTGGCCAAATTTAGTGTGAATTGTCCAATAATTTTCTGATAAATTTACCTCCCTACTTCCCCCCCCCCCCCCCCCTCCGTACCCTTCGCCCTCTTCCTCAAGAGCTGCGCTCTAATTCGGCATTCACTACTGTATCGTTACTGCGTTGTGCACGTTAAAGACCCCAGGCTAGTGGTTGCACCGCACTGGCTAGATTGCTCATCTACAGCTGAGACACCAGACGCCTACTGAGGCAGACTAACTTCCGGCTGTATGAATATACACACAACAATTTACTTGCTTGAGTATTGCAAACATCTTTCTATTTTGAACCCCTTCTTTTGTACTGTGCCTGTCAGCGGACATCGACGCGCCAGGATACGGTCATCCATATCCCTCATGGAAATAACCAGATCCATACCAGTCGTGAGGCACGTAGCCAGGAGTTAGTTTCGGGGGGGGGGGGGGGGGGGGGGGGTATATGGGCACCCCCCCCCCCACCCCCCCCATGATGCGTGCATGCCAGTCGTGGAAGGAACCGCATTCATATCACCCGTAGAATACACCGCGCCCATCGAAATTCTAACTCCACTCACACATCACTGCCCAAGAACCGCTACTACGGAAACCCTGAGGGAAGAAGAATCGTCGACAACAGAGCGGCAACTGAGCACGCCCGCATTCCACCGCGCCGCGGCGCCACACTTCATAGATAACAAAGCCGTAGTGCTAAATGAGATGACGTCATCAGAGAAGGCCAACGCTGGGTACAGATTGGACACGACGATTGCGTCAACACTCGGCTCAAACGTGACTGGAAGGCGAACGGTGACGCGTACTCACACTGCAGAAAAAAATATTGCGCCTATTCGAAAATGATAACGGTAAATTACAAGACCTGCACACTGCACCACTTTAAAAAAAATGGGATTCTCAGGGCCAATCAGATTTATGACTTTAAGTTATTACAACTGATTCACAGGCAAAAACTATATGTGACGGATATAAGTGATGTAATGCATGCATACCCTCTTCGACATGCACTTAAGCGGCAACCTCACACCCGTACAAATTATGGAACAAAAAAAAATGGAAAATCAAGTCAGTAAAGCTCTCAATAACAATTGGACCACATAGATTCTTATAACACTTTTAGTAAATTTTAAAGGGATCTCAGGACATTCATGGTAGGCAGTGGTAAACGCATATTATCTGAATCTGTATGTAATAACTAGCTGTTTTTCTGGTATAATCTTAAAATGAATATTTCGTTTACTACTAAGCGTTAACTTTGGAAACTGTGTGCTGCTGGAAAGCGCTGCACTGGGGACAGAGACCTTGTCAGGCTTCACGCCTTTAGTCCCTGTCTCCATTACGGTTGACTCCGGAAATAAATAAACATTCATTCGTTCATTCATTAAGCCATATCTCATTCAGCACTGCGGCTATGTTATCTAGGAGGTGTTGCACGAAGACTCCTCCTCTCTGGCTCGGCACCAGCTGTGCGCGTGACTTTGTGGAAAACGAAAGGACTCGTTTTAACTAAAGTGCCTAGATAGGAGCTTACTACAAGTAGCGACATTCTTTGAAGCACCGACTGAGTGACGGTGCAGGTCTTAGGAAGCGAATGGCAGCGCACAACAAAGGTTTGAACTGAATGCCGCAATTCTGTCCCAGCGGAATGTGCTTTGTCATTTGTACTGGTTGTCGTTACTTATCGTGGTGACAGCAAAAGACCATCGTCTTTGGCAGTCACCACGAGCTCAAGACACGGGAGCTCGTGCATTCCGTTCTTCGGCGAGCGGGAATCTTGGCAGCTGGTAATGTCCCTCTGACCTGCTTCACTGGAATAAACCCTCAGTACACCCCTCGACTCGGGCCAACTACACTGGCGACGAGGATGGGATTAGGAAGTAGAGCAACTTGAATGTCTCGGGACTAATTGAAGCGATTAATAATTTTCTCTTGTCCGCGTCGGCAGTGACCTTAGCGACGTCGAGACAAGCTTGAAACCTTATGTGATAAAGGTTCCAGCTCTCCTTCTTGGTGGCCCGAGTCGAGGAGTGCATTCCGTTCTTCGGCGAGCTGGAATCTTGGCAGCTGGTCATGTCCCTCTGACCTGCTGCACTGGAATAAACCCTCTGTGCACCCCTCGACTCGGGCCTACTAGACTGGCGACGAGGATGGGATTAGGGAGTAGAGCAACTTGAATGTCTCGGGACTAATTGAAGCGATCAATAATTTTCTCTTGTCCGCGTCGGCAGTGACCTTAGCGACGTCGAGACAAGCTTGAAACTTTATGTGATAAAGGTTCCAGCTCTCCTTCTCGGTGGCCCGAGTCGAGGGGTGCATTCTGTTCTTCGGCGAGCTGGAATCTTGGCAGCTGGTCATGTTCCTCCGACCTGCTGCATTGGAATAAACCCTCAGTACACCCCTCGACTCGGGCCTACTACACTGGCGACGAGGACGGGATTAGGAAGTAGAGCAGCTTGAATGTCTCAGGACCAATTGAAGTGATCAATGAGTTTCTCTTGTCCCCGTTGGTAGTGACCTTAGCGACGTCGAGACAAGTTTGAAAGCTTATCTGATAAAGGTTCCAGCTTTTCTTTTCGGCGGTGTAGTAGGCCCGAGTCGAGGGGTGCATTCCGTTCTTTGGCGAGCTGGAATCTTGACAGCTGGTCATGTCCCTCTGACCTGCTGTATTGGAATAAACCCTGAGTACACCCCTCGACTCGGGCCTACTACACTTATAAAAGAAGTATCAAAGGACTTTAGTTTTGACAAAAACCCGGCGGTGTCTGTCAGTTTGTCAGCGCCGAGAAGAGAGGGAGAGGTTGACGCGTGCTCACGTCAGCGCTTCGGACCAATGTGAGCGTCACACACGCGACAACTGACAAACGAAAGACACCGGCAGGTTTTCGTCAAAACCAGCATTCTAATGCTAACGCATCAAGAGAAAAGTACCACTTCTTGCCTACGGCTGACGTGAAGACAAAATCACCGTCAGCTGGCCAGTGGCTTTCCCTTCTACAATAATTGTCGAGAGATGAGGGATGAAAGGCAAAACTATCTCGTAGTGCGACACACACACACAAAAAAGTGCAGTCATTGAGCAGTAAAAGAACGATGCGGGCGCCCTTAGAAAGTTTGATTGGTACATATCTTTCGGTAGCGTGCTAACTGCAAAGGCGTAGTCGTATCGCCCATACATCGTACATTCGCTGCAGACGTGATGCCTCAGATATGTTCGATCCATGTTTAACTACATACATATGTAAGCTTCGAACATGTCTGCAATGAGTTCTCACGACCAGCCTGACAAGGCCGTCATACGGGGAAGAAGCATGACTCATGCGGTGTCCCCGCAATGTCTTTCGTATGATGGACTTAGCAGTGGCACCGCGGCTTGAATGATCACGTAGGGACTTCGGAAATGTCTTACCACAAAACTGAAGACAGGGATATGGGCGAAAGGGAACAGGGACCTCGAGAGCCTGACGGCGAGTCGGAGTTTCTCGTTGAGAACGGTGTCCACAAAGTTGTTTGCCTCGTTGACCGTGGCTGCGTGCGCTAAAAACAATGAAAGTTGCAGAATATGTTAAACCCGCGGCTATGAGAGTCTTTCGCCTCTGGCGTTTACGTAAGCTGGCACACCAAATGTTTAAATGTGTCAGATGTGGAGAAAATAAAGTTCTCGTTGTTGCTCTTAATTGTTCGAACCCGATGGGGGCGCGTTTAAGATGGAGCTTCTCCAAATAAAAGGACGGACCGCTTTATGTAGCTTCGAGTTATAAAATTCCATAATTGCCCAGAAAGGCACGTCATAAGCCTTAATTTATGCTTACAGCGGAAGTGACGTGCTTCTTCCCATTCTCCGTCCCTCGATCTTTTTTATGACTTTTGAGTACGCCGAGTCTTTTGAAAACGCTTGACACTCGGTGTGTGGATCGCGCGAGATTGGGTTAGCAGAATAGTCGTCTTTTTGTTTTTTTATATATGCGAAAGTTGAACAAAATTGGTTTTCTTACCATAGCTCAGCGCTCCAAGAAATAGGAACCCGCACCAAAGCATTTCTGGGCTTGATGACCTGAGGACAAAATAGAGTATTAAAAAAACTCACCCACCGATATTTTTGTACAATGTAACTATGGAAAATACACACGTAAACGTGGCACACAGTTATGTGTTTCTAAAAGTGTCGTCCCGTTTCTGTTTTGCCACGAAGGCAGATACCATGCAAAGAAAGTTAAAATGCCTTAATGGAAGCAATTCATAAAAGCAAAGATGAGTACCTACTTTGAAATGTCAAGACCAAGAAGATTTTCGAAAACTGGATGCTCACAGAGTCCTTGCTGCGCGGACGGAGAAATTCGCGTGACAATCGTCAGCCGCACAGCGAGATATCCAAGTATACCAACCAGCGGTTGGTTTATATTAGCTTGAGCTTTCCCTTTCTCAATAACAAAATTAAGAACATTAAGAAGAGGAGACCATTTTGTTTGGGGGGCAACGTCAGATTGCTTATCAGAGTCTGCGCGGGGTGGAACTTGAAAAACAAGCCCGGCGCTTTTGGAGGTCGCTTCTCTAGTTACTTGACCTGTAAAGTGATTCTTGCAAACGGAGTAGTCTGTCACCAGATATCCAAGTTACATTGGTCTCTGTGGCCATTCGGCCATAAGGAATCCAGGTCAATGTTCGCTCAAATCTTGGACCACCAGTCGGAATCTCGCACGGCATCTGCGAAACCTCATTTCGAAATGAGATATCCCGGATAAAGCCTCGTGTCCATCCTGATATTTATAGCAATAGTCACTCCCAGTTTGAGAAATACAAGGCAGGGTGGGTCTTGAGCCTCTTATTAACGGTTAGATGTAAACGAGATCGCGGCGTCGGTCGATGGTAATACCGAGTAACTAACCACAAATAAAAAAATTGTGATCATTATAAGCAAGGCCCCGCGTTTTTTAAGGTGGCAGTGACTATCGCAACTGGTAGAAATCATATCAAAAGCTCGAACGTGTCTTTTTTTAATTTTATGTCGACTGAGGGTTTATTGAAAGCAGGATGTGTCCTATTACAATACCACTTTTTGCTTTGTTATTTGGTCTTTGGCGTTCCTTTATGCCGGAATCTATTCGTGTTTCTAAAGTGCATCATTTCTTGGTAATATTTTTCTTCCTTTAGGGAAAATAAAAACCGATAAAAATTTATTTGCGAGAGAAGAATTGTAGGACTAGCTCAGGGTCAAATGTTCCCTCGTGTTTGGCCCTGGCGTCATCACTATCGCCAGAGCTGCAAACACTGCATGACCAGTCTTTCCTGCGGGAGTTTTCAGACCTGCGCAGTAGTCATCACGAGCGATCACATTTCTTGTAATTGATTACTTTTTGAAGAAATTTTGCAATCATTTTATTACATTTATTAAAATATAATCACAAGAGTACCCCAAATTACTTTGGGAAGTGCTCGTACCCTTTCTAATTGCGCTCTCGGTATCTGCACATTTTCTACCGAGAGATCCCTTAATCAAGTCTCACACAGGAAGATGGTTTACCAAAAGATAAGCAACTCATATTTACATGGTTCTAATTAAATAATGGAAGGTGCGAAAATTCCGTTCTTAAAGTGTGAGAAATCTCAAGTTTTATTTTTCAAGTAACGCCCAACTGCTTTTATTTCAAGATATTGAGTTATCTTATTGAATACGTTTTAACCAAGAGCAATTGTAATTGTAAACGATTACTTTTCTTGACTGACATGTACAAGGCCGAGTAGTTTGAATCAATATTAGAGTCGATGACTTCTTAGGAGACGCAGGGAAGTCCCGTTCATATTATTGGGCAGCCAATGAAGGTGCGGCGTCTTAAATGATAACAACGACGATGAACGAATCAAGAAGTAGGGAGGGTGAGCATCATGAGCTATGCCCGGAATTTCTTATGGCGTCAGGGACTGCTGCACGGGCTTCACAAACACGACATGACTTTGAGCTTGCAGGTCATGTTTCACTTGATATTGCTGAAAAATCAGCTGCAGTTTTTTTAAAGTGTACTAAGATTACAGGAAGGACACACGATCAGGCGACAGACTCACAGATAATTGGCAATCAGCTTTGACGTCATTTTTTATTTATTTTTTTTTTGTTTATTTATTTATTTCAAGATACTGTTAACCCCTCTTGGGGTCATTACAGGAGAGGGTAAAAAAATGTACAGTAATAAACAACAGCAGCAAAACCAGAGCACCGCATACATTACAGGAGAGTGTAAAAATGGGCGGAACTAAACAGCAGCAGGAAAACGAAAAACACCGCATCAACAAGTAAAATTTGTAATCATATTACGAAGACAACATTATTAAGCTAGCTAACGGCAGGCACCACTCAACAGTAACAATGAACAAACTAGTTCTGCATGCGCTTCAAATTATTTTAAAACTCTGTAGGGGAACTTGAGTTTACAACTTCCTGCGGTAGAAGGTTCCATTCATCTATTGTTTTGGGAAAGAAAGAACAGTGAAATACATTAACTCTACTTTGAAAAGCTGGATCATTTTTGAATGGCTATTTCTTAGAATGCGAGTTATACGGGGTTTCAAATACAGGGTATAGTCAATGTTGAAACAACCATGATACATCATAAAAATATACTTTAGTCTAGTATTCCTGCGCCGCTCAGAAAGGGGTATAAGGTCAAGCTGTTTTAACATGCCAGCGACAGAGTCGGTTCGTCTATATCTGGAGGGTATATACCGAGCTGAAAGTCTTTGTACGTTCTCTAATTTCTAAATGTGATTTTTTTATGGGGATCCCATATTACATTTGCGTACTCTAATACTGGTCGCATGACTGTTTTATGGACCATCAGCTTGGCACTCATAGTCGCATATCTAAAATTTCTTTTCAAGTATCCTAATGTACGCTTAGCAGAACAGCAGATGGTGGCTTCCCCATTTTAAGTTATTTTCGATAGTTACACCCAAATATTTATAGCTATTCACTTCTCTTAAAGGAGACCCGTTAACTGTGTATACATAAGGTAGAATATTTTTCTTATTTGATATCCTTAGAAGTACAGTTTTGTCAACATTAATTACCATCCCCCATTCTTGACATCATGACCCAACTTTCTGTAGAGCGCTGTCCGGATTAGCTTGATCCTCGCTAGTTTTGATATCTGTGTAAAAAAGACAATCATCGGCAAATAATCGTACCATAATAGAGTCATCAATGGCTTGCGTAATGTCATTAATATATATTAAAAATAAAACTGGACCCAAAACGGAGCCTTGTGGTACTCCCGATGATACTGGTAAAACGCTAGATGCCGTGCTATTTATTTCAACGAATTGTCTTCTTTCCTTGAGGTATGCACTTATCCAATTAGCCAATTCCGAGCTGACTCCAATTAATTGAAGTTTTTTTGTAAAGTGTTTATGCTGGACTCGGTCAAAAGCCTTCGACATATCTGGAAATATTGCGTCAGTTTGTCCCCCGGCATCAATAGATTTTCAAAAGTCGTGAATGCATTCACTTAACTGGATAACCGTTGAAAGTTTTTGTCTAAAGGCGTGTTGGTTTGTATAGAGAAGGTTATTGTGTTCTAAGTGGTCGTATAATAACTTTGAGACAATGTGTTTCATTATTTTACAGCTGGTACTCGTCAGTGATATTGGCCTATAATTGGTTGGGGATAATTTGTTGCCAGCTTTCAAAATAGGCACGACTTTAGCGAATCGCCAGTCGGAGGGAACGGAACTTTGCGATAACGAATCTTTAAAGATAAGCGTTAGATATTTTGAAACCCACTCAGCGTACCGTTTTAAGAATGCGTTTGGAATGTTATCGGGTCCCCCAGACTTATGCACTCTAAGTTGCAACAAAAGAGAAAAAATGCCTCCCTTCTGAAATAGAAATATCTGTCATTATATGTCCGTTGCATCCAACGCCGCCTCTCACATCGTGACCAGGAAATTTGGGCACGTTACTTGAGAACACGGACTGAAAGAAAGTGTTGAATACATTGGCCATAACCTCTGGATTATTAACAACCTCACCGTCAACTTCAAGATTTGATATGGGCTTTTTTGTAGGAGAGAGATAATGCCAAAATTGCTCGGGGTCCGACTTCATGACATTTCGCATAGTGACAGTAAAATATTTTTGTTTTGATGCACGTAGACTATCCTTTAATTTATCAGATAAACACGAAATTGCTTGCTCATTAACGAACTTCTTTTTACGCTGTCGCTTTATCTGCCTTTTTAGATGCAAAATTTTCCTGGTGATCCATGGGTTTTGCTTCTTTTTAATTAGCCTCAGGGGAATATAACGTTTAATGCAATAGTTAAATATTCGCTTAAAGTCCTCCCACATTTCATCTACCGGCCTGAGGCGCTCGAACTCATACAAAGCCATCTCAAGGTAGTCTAAAATGTCAACGTCACTTGCCATCTTAAAGTTTCTTACGAACTTTCCCGTACGTTCTCTTGATGGTCTATCTGAATTCAAATGACAAGTCACGCTAACTAAATCATGATCAGATAGCCCTTCGTACACTGAGACGTCATAATCTCATAGGTCGCTACTCAAAAATACCAAATCCAGACTTGTGTCAGCAGATCTGCCGTGTCTGGTACTCCGATTGACAACTTGCGTAAAATCAAAATTAAAAGCGAGATCGAGAATAATTTCAGAGTCTTTGGTATCGCTAGTACCTGGTGCAAGTTTTTCCCAACAGATGCCCGGCAGGTTGAAGTCGCCTGCTATTGCAACATGTGAGTTATGTTTAATAATAGCTTCCATGTAATCATACAACTTTTCCATAAATGATATAGGCGTACCTGGTGGACGATATACAGCACCGACAGTGATCAGTGTACTGGGCCATTTAATTTGACGAAACAGACTTTCGTGGTCTGGAATTTGATTGAGCAGAGGGCTACACTCAACGTGAGACTTGACTAGGATCGCCACACCACCGCCACGTGACCCTCGGTCTCTTTGGTGTACTTTATAATTCAATGGAGAAATCTCATTATCATCAATATCACCATGTAGACAAGTCTCGGTGATGACAACAA